GTTCGAAGCGAGCCGTCACTCAAACGGGCCGAAGGCCCGTTTTCGGATAGAAGATGTATTACACCATAAAAATTCTGAAGGGACGGGCCGAAGGCCCGTCCCAAACGCCGCCGGCAGGCCCAGCTTGTTTCACCGGACCCTTACCTTAATGCAATGTTTTAGACATCCTGCTTGGATTGAAAAGGGGAGAAATGAGATGGACACAGTAAGCATTTCGTAGTCTACACCTGAGTCCTCTGTTGCGTTTGGTGGAAATGGGTTGTAAATAGAGTTGTAAATAGGCTCTTTCTTGGCCTCAAAAGTCGCATATTAAGATGGTTACCGAGTACACAAGATTCGAGCGTGGTCTTCACGCCGCTAGCGTGAAAAGAGTTGTTTTGGTTATCAGTACATTTTATGCACCAGCCAATAACAGGCTGCCGTTGGGCTATGGTATTCTTTTCAGCTGTGAAAAAAAGCTGTGAAAAATCACGCTAGCTCCAAAGCTTATTCAGCTGAAAAGCATGGCATAGCCCCACGTCGGCCTGTTATTGACTGTTGCATAAAGTCAACTGCTAGCCAAAACAACTCTTTTCACGCTAGCGGCGTGAAAATCACGCTCGCAGCTTGTGAACTCTGTATCCACCTTTATGCCCCTCGGTGTTTTATTTTGCCGAAGTACCACATCAGATATCTGACAAAAAAAGCATTAACATGTTTTGGGGTCTTTTTAGCCCGCTCTTTTGCTTAAAAGCTATAGGAGCGGGCTTATGCCATCGCCCTCGTGTCTGTCTGTCTGTCTGTCCGTTCCCCAAGAAGGATGTGAGCTAGATGTCTGAAATTCTCAGGGTATTATTCTTGTCACTTCTGGACAACGAAACGGTTGGTGCAAATCCTGGCAACTACCCCTGAGTGGGTCATATGGGGTACCAAAGAAACAGGGGTTGGTCCAAGAAGTGGGGTAATTTTTTTAAATCAATATTTTCTCCTCACGGGTAACTTATGAAAGTAGAGCCCTGTGGGCGAAAATTTTGTCCGCTTGGCTCTATCTCTGACCGTTTAGGCGCTAGAGGGAGTCAACTCCATGACCCTACTCATCTCCATGACCTATCCGTATGATATGGATGAATTTGCTTTTTGCCCAACTTCGGTGTCAGCGCCGCAGGCCTAGGTAGATGTACGATCCCATTAATTCGTCTCGGGTAGCTATATATGCGCCAGGCGCGTCGCAGCGTAACGGTGTTTCGTGAGATATCGCGAAGCCTGTTACGCGAGACGTGGTCTGGCCTGGCGTACATATAGATAGTATACTATACAGCCCCGCAAAGAGCGAGCTACACCCCTTCTTCGACGGGTGAGAGCGGGGTCCGGGTAGGCATTTAGCTCGCGTAGCTCGCTCTTTGCGGGGCTCTAGTTTACTATTAAACAGTTACCAGAAGGAATCGTTAAATTGTCTCATCGGGAGACACTTATACGGCTTAATGCAAAATACCCAATCAAGCAGTGTTGGACTCTCAAAGTTGGCCACTTAGAGCCATCTTATTACCAGAAGATGAATGTGAAAATGGCGTTTCAGGTAAGACATAAAATGTTACCTTCCATTCTTAGTATGATCGAGTTTATCACATTTTCTGCTGTTGCACTACACAAGTTTTTTGATGAGAATGCTCTTTCTTCGATGAAATTGTGAAGGGTGATAAATACTTATCCAGAATTAGCTGATAGCGGACCAACAATAAAATTCGAAGAAAGACATCAAATTTAATAAAGGCTATGCACAAAGATATTTACAACTCCCTGAAAGCTGATGCAAACTGTCCATATAACAAGGTCTTACTCATTTGACTTACAAGGTAGGGGAAGCTGGGGTCCCATGAGACTTGGGGTCCCATGAGACTTTTGCGATATCTCAGAAAGTAAAAGTTGGAGGCGCTGACAAAAAATTGAGTTGCAACCCTACCAGGTATGTTCTTGGTAGCTGCAAGGCCGAGGGTCTGGTTTGAATATGGAGGGTGTGAGAGCCAGCTGAAGTTGGGCAAGTCCATATTTTGGACTTAAGTAAATTTCATGTAT